ACTCCAGCAGGAGTGCCAGAACCTCCCCTGCCCTGCCTCTTTCCCCAAGGCACTGCTCATGCCCAGCATCTCCCTGAGGCTCTGCCTCACCCTGCCTCTTCCCCCCAAGACCTTGTCTGTTCACTCCTCTTCCTCCCTCCCCGTCACTTGCTGCTCTTCTCCTCCTCACCTCCCTCCCCCCCACCCCCGCATCAGGATGGTCTCACCTGTGGAGCCGGGACTGGGAGCTGCAGCCGCCCAATGCAGGTAGGAATGGCCCTCACTGAGTAGGGTCTGGTGAGGGTGATGACTGCTCTTTTCCCTTGCAGTTTTTTATTTAGTCACAGCCTATCTATGGCCCCACAAAGTCTCTGGACCTTCTTGTTAGCCTTTGCCTAGCCCTGGGATGGCCATCTATCAGTCAAGAAGGAGGCGGTTGGATTGTAGTGATGCCCTTTGTGACTGCAACTGTGGGTCCCACTTATGATCACTTGTTTGATCACATCTCGGGGCAGAGTTTCTCTGGGGGCATCCACTCATTCCCTGGACTCTTTTTGAAGAGCAATGGGTGCTGTTAGTGGTTCTCTGCTTGATGTGCCCCTCTGGAACATTCACTTTGTTTTCTCATTTGTCATCTCCTAGACTCAGGGGATTCCTATGGTCTTTTACACCCGTTCCCCTCTGAAGAGTGGGAGGTCCTTTTGGTTTGATAGATAGGGATCTGCTGTGAACATACGGACCAAGTAGGCCTGTGCACTGAATGAGGCAGGGAGTCCTGTGGAGAAAGTGGTATGTGATTATATAATTAAACACTGTGTATGGAGTATGATACCCAAGGGGGGGGGCTGAATTAAGGTTGCACTGGCAGCCTTAATTCTAGCATTTCCTAACTTGTGAATGTTTGGCTTTGCAACCTTAATAATGTACGTTTTGGTGTGTAATAATATATAAAAAGTCACATAGGAAGAAGCAAGAACTGAAAGGGGAATATTTCTGTCAAGAATAATAGACAAAGGTAATCATTCACACCTCCAGAATGAGGTGTTTTTATATCAGATTTCCTCCTAAAAAACTCTTCCCACTTGATGGAAACTTCCTTCTGACATTGTTTATTATTCTGGTTAGAAATGTCTAAAAGATAATGTCTTTAAAAAAATTCTACCTTGGCCCAGAAATTCTTTTAATGTGCTACAGAGCAACATTATCTCTATTTCTCGGTAGACACTGTTAAATTCTCTTTTCTCCCTCATCATTTTTTGTTCTTTTAATTTAAAACACTTCCTACCATCACTGTCTTGTAATAGCATTGCCTTAGACTGAATTTAGAGCAAGACAGAGAAGTACACTCAACTTAGGCCAGCAGATTATGATGGCTGCTGATGTGCTTTCCTCTGTTTCCAGTGCCGGCTGAGCTTCTAGCGTTCACCCATCTTATTTTTGGCTAGTCCATTAATTGTCTGCATCAGCTCCATTCCCAAAAGAAAAATATGCCATATGCCGTTGCCTACTTTTGAAAATATCAGGAGGGGCTTCTGTGATAACAGTTTATTGTGCTAGATCATTAAAATAACGACATGTGTCACAAAAGGTCATGGATCTTGGCTGTACACATGAATAAGAAATTAATCTAGTCCTGAAGCATGACATTTCCAAGAGCTGCCTGTTGTGAAAAGCACATGATGACTCATAACAGCCTTCTCCACTGTGGAAAATTAAGCCTATTGCAAAAAGCTAAGAACTGTCCATACACTGTCTGTACTTAAAAAGTAAACATTTTAAGATAGTATGTTTATAACCACCCTCAGCAGGAGAAATGGCAAGGTCAAGAAGTCATTGTTATACTCCGGGCTCCCTTGTTTAAACACACATCTACTGTTGAACAAAACCCTCTTACTATAGCATAGTGAATTTCCATCATTTATTTCAACTAACTGCATATGTAAATAATTTTAGTACACTAACCAGATAGTATAGAAACATTTTCATGTTTCTATACTGGGGAATTCACCAACTTCACCTCTCTCTCTCTCTCTCTCTGAATTCCCTGAACATATTTGCTCATTTTTTCCCCCTTCTAGTTATAAACACCACAATGTGTCACAAACCACCCTTTAAAGAATTGACTAGGCAAGTTGAGGCATGTCCCCTTGTAAATTAAATGCATGTGCAGTGGATAGAGCGGGCAGTCAGTCTTGATGAAATAGTGGGTCTGAGTTTTCTCCTGGAAGACAGAACTCAATGAATGTCACAAACAGGGTCAGTAGAATAGTTTTCTATAATAAGTGTATGAAGTATTTCTATGATACTTCTCTGAGCATGGCTGGTTGTCAACCCTACCTGCAGAAATGGTTCAGGCTTTCTCCTGCCTTTCTTCCAATTTTGCTCCTGGCTGTTACGGCAAATTTGAACAAGTCTCCAGAAATTCCCAATTCCTTTTGCTAATTTGCCTAAAACTCTTAAATATCTTCCTGACTATATATACACCCAGAGAGGGATCTAGTCAGCTGAGCTGAGGAGCTCATGTGTAGCTGCCACTGTGCAATTACCAGGAAATATGAAATATTAGTATCATGTATTCTATTCATTCCTTTTAGTGCATTCAACCCTTCACTTTCCTGTCCAACACATAGTCACTTTGGTGCTCTCTATTTTGGGCACTGTAACTATGAAAGCACTCATTAATTATTTGTATTATACTGATGCCTGGAGACCTCAATCTGGATCAGGGCCCCACTAGGCTAGGTATTACACAAACACAGAGAAGACCAGTTAGTATCTGGTGAAAAACATCCAGGCCAGATGCTCTGCTGAACCCCACAGGGGGGTGAGAGAAATAAAGGAGGCAGCTCCCTAGTTCTCTGTCTGATCTTATTCCTGAAACCAAGAGACTGTCCCCTAGCTGGGGATTGCTAGAGTGCATCTTATGCTATGGACATGAGGTTAGAGGAGCTGGCTCTGCCAGGCTGACCCCTGATGGGTGAAATTCCAATTGGGAAAATATAGGAATACAGGGAGCAGGCAACGGTTCAGAACAGCTGGCCCTCTACTTCAAAACAGGAGTCCTATAAAAAAATAGTATGTGATCATATAACTCCAGATTATATGATAAAGCACACGGGCAGAATTAAGGTTACAGTTATTTCCTATTTGAGTGCTTGGCTTTTTAATCTTAACAATGATGGTTTTGTAAATGGAATTTCCTAAGATTTTATTTTTAAAAAGTTTTAAGACAGAGCCAAAGAAAGTGCATTATGCACCACTGTTTTCTAGATAGCACTAGGATGCTGGAGATCAGGATTACTGGACTCTATTCTTGGTAGCGAGTGCAAACTGGTGGTTAAAGCAGGGGTCTGAGATATAGGTTTCCTGGCTACTATGTATTTGTCTCTGAATGATATAACCCTCAGTCATCTGTGGGTCTCAAAAGTGCTTGGTAAAGTGGGTATGTGGAAAGCAGACTTATTTTACAGATAGCATAGCCAAGCACCTAGGTTTTGCATATTCTTTCCAACAGGCAGTGTCACTTAGTGGGCAAAACTGAGTTCCTCCATGTTCAGGACCTGATTTTCCAGAGGACACTCAGCAGTTTTTACAGTTAAGTCTCTTGTACAGGCATCTCATACTGGCCACCTAGATTCAATAGCAGCTTTTGAAAATCTTGGTCCTGGGTTCCCTTCCTAGCTGAGCCTTCAATAAGCATGAGAGCTGACTGAAAATTTTCAATGAAAACTGTTTATCAGTGGCAAATTGGGTTTATGACAAAAATAATTTTTTCCCCGAGTAATGTCTGCTTGCTGCAGCTATTTCTACTTTTTGTCCAAAAATTTATCATTTGAAAAGGTTTGGGCCAAACCCCAAAAAATCAGATTAGGAAACACTAGCATGGTGCCTCATGCCCCCATTTTCCTCTATGGGCCAGGCTCACCAGTTAGACCAAGTTTCCAGTGATGTACCACAGCAGCTAGGCAAGTGGGGAGATAGAGGCTGGCCAGGGAGCCCATCCCAAAGGGAAGAACGGGGGCATAAGGTACCTAAATTTATACTCCCTATCTGCCCTGTGGGGATATTTCCAAAATGAAGATTTTGGTTTTCAGCTGAAATTTTTTGGTTTTCTATTTTTACCAAAAAAATCAAAATTCTCTATGAAAAAAATGTGAAACTAACTTTTCATCAAAATTTTCCCTCAGGCAGAAGAACTATTTTCCAACCAGCTCTCCTTCTGCATCTTCTAGTACTGTTATCAAAACTATGAACTACGGGGAATACCACTGGAAGTATGAAGCCTTGGTCAACAATAGCGGTCATGAAGTGCAGAAAACAAGTAACACCGGTTAGTGAAAGAGGTTAGACTAAAGCTCCCAGCCCTGGGCTCCTTCCCTTAAGCCAATGGGTGGTAATTATCTACTTCCATGGTTCCTGGATCTAGCCCCATTGTGTTGTTTTGTGGTTCTGGGACTCTGAAAGGTGCACCACAGCACCAAGCACACAAGTACAAAAGCTCCTATGCATGCACACATGGTAATTTTTCTCCCCTCCAGCTCACCTTGGTAAATTTTCAGAGAGAGAGAAGGTAAGATGTGTGGATGTCAGGAAGAGCATGGCTCTTCCTAGGTTTAGAGCAAGTTTTTTTTATGAAAAGAAAGAATGGTAAGGGAGACTGCAGACAGATTCAGAGTTGGAAGATCAGTGAACCACACAACACATTTACCAAGGACTGTCACTACACGGTCAATCACAGGATGGCATGATAAAAATCACCAATGACAGGGACAGACTAAGCATCCAGCCAGGCAGTCCTAAGCACCTACACAAACCCATTGGTGTGGTGCTCACTCTACAAGGAGGCTATATCTCTGAGATTTGCTTTGAAGATATGGAGATGAGCAGAGACAGTCCCTGTTCGTGCTTTAGGCAGCCTCAACATGACTAAAAGACTCTAAAAACCTCCTTTCCTTAAAGCGTTTTGATGGGCTAGGAGTAAAACTGGTGAAATTCTGCCCATGTCACTGTAGGGCTCTCAAGCAGAACAGTTCTTGCACTGCGCTTTGGCAGCTCTGCTATTTCATGTGGTTATAGAGTCTTGCGCCAGCGATGAAGAATAGAAGGTATAAAAGGCAGAGCTCACAACTTCCCCAAAGAGCTGGAAACAAAGTTGTAGAATAGTAGGAGGGTGTGAACCACTTCACTTTCCTGGAGCTGGAGGCAGACTTTGGTCAGGTTGTTCAGCTTACAGTGCTGGAGTTCTCAGAGCTCTTGAACCACCCACAGGACTAGTGAAGAGGCCATAAAATTGAATGCTATGCTGTACTTTTGTGGTTAAGGACTGATGTGCTGTGGATAGGACCACACTGCCTATTGTATAGTGGTGAAATGTGCTTTTACTAAACTATTCCCATATTCCTTGTAAAATAAGCACGTCAGTACATATATACAAACTAATTACCAGACACATACTTGTATTTACAACTGTATATGTTTGGGAATAATAGTATCTAACATTTCAATATTTAAAACTTGGCTAAGGAATTTAAAGCTACTAAAGCCCTTTCCATTCCACCAGAGAAGATTAGGACCATTTCTTCTAGTGAAACATTGTGGGGTTTTATTAAGTATCCTCTAGCTTGGTTTGAAGAGTCCAACAGGCTGAAGACCATTGTTCTGTATTTGAGTTAGCTGGCAGAATGCTATGATCTTCAGTAAACTCAGACTGACTTTTACATTCTGATGGTTCACTGTCTTTGCAGGGTGGAGGCAGCAGATTGTTTGCTGCAAGGGTATTTACTTCCCCTTCGGCAATGGCATCTTGTGGGCATGGCCCATACAAACTTTCCGATAAGCCAACGTAGTCATGGTCAACCACTATTGCACCTTGTAAGAGATAATGGTTGTCTGCAACAACAAAGAACATTTTGGTTAGAGTGGCCCTTTCTACTTCATTTAAAGTCATTCTATATAATTACAGAAAGACTAAAAAAAGGATGATGCTGGGTGCTAACCCATTTTCAAAGCAGTTTCAATAGCATGGCTAGAATATTTTTGTGAAGTCAATCTTACAATATGGACAGAATTTCTGGCCCTTAATTTCTATGTGCACCAAATTTTCAGTCTCCTCTCCTCTAAGATAAGGCTTGTAATGCCATCGTAGTAGTGTACATTCCTTTATTTTTAATGCTTCATTTTGCTGTCTCTCTGTGGGCCAAACGGAGCACCAGCACAGCTCCTGCTGAAATCAGTGCTTCATAGCAATTGATCTTGGATTCTTCTTTCTTTATATACTTATGATTAAATGTGGCCATCCCAAATGCATGCTAGAAAACCTTAAACCCTTTAAACTACATCACAATGTTTTCTGACATATAGAACACACACACACTGTATATACATACACTGCAGACTGAAAGCATTTAAAAAGGAAAGATTGAATGCTACTGTATATTAAGCAGTGGTGCAAGTAAGCCGGTACAGTCAGGTACACCGTACCCTTAAGAAATTTATTGCTGGTACGCCGTAACGGAAAGATACATTTTGAAGAATGAATTGTAGAACCCTGCACGGATACAAATTTATACCTGCGGATGTGGATATCCGCAGATAGAAATCGGTATCTGCTGAGCCTCAGGAACTGCAGCAGCGAAAGGAGCAGAATTTGGGGCCGCCGCTCCTCCAGCCCTGTCCTCTGGCTGGGCTGTTCAGACCCAAGACAGGAGACGCAGCTGCGTGGAAGAGGTGGTATAGCTGCACCAGAGGAGCTGCCAGCGGAGGGCACTAGCTTCTGGGAGCGGCAAGCCCACGTTCTGCTCCTTTCGCCGCTGCAGTTCCCAGGAGAGCCCTGGGATTCAGCAGATACCAATTTCTATCCACGGATATCCACATGCGCAGGTATAAATTTGTATTCGCGCAGGGCTCTAGGTCACGGAACATTTTTTGTGAGGGGGAACAGTGTCCGGGGGGGGAGAAGGGGGGGGTGGTACCCTACCGGTGAGAGTTAAAAATCTACTTGCACCACTGATATTAGGCCTCCTTTTCTGATATTTGTGCCCAAGTGCTGGGTTGTAATTTGACTGGTAAGCACTGAAGATTTTCATCTGAGTTGAGGCTGTTCAGTGTTTCAAAATCAATGCAGGTTGACACTCCTTACCTTTTAGAAAGGAAGAGAATTACTGAGTTCTCTAAATCTCCAGATTTACAGTCCTGTCTCACATGGCTGCTGACCAGGGGAATCCAAAGAGTGAAATACTTAGCTAACTGCTAATTTGCATTAGGATCTTTTGAATTAGATCATTCAGCAACTTTTCCTTTTTTAAAAAAACAAACAAACAAAAACAAAAAAACACATTCCAGTGTCTGTGTGGTTAACTCCAGCAGGATCCCTGGAGGTTTTGTCTGGTCCTAGTGTCACCATAGAGAACAGCTGGGATGGAGGACTGAAACATGCACAATTTAGTCAGGAATTTCAACTGTTAAAGGCAGGCTGAGCCTAAGCAACCCACCTCTGCTAGAGATGGGTGAAATTTTTCATCCAAAACGTTTTTCAGCCGAAGATAGAGACTTGGCTACACCAAAACATTTAGTGAGTTCAGTGTGATTTAGCCACATTGCTTTCGTAAAAACAACAAAAAACAAAGAATAAAACAAAACAAACAAAAAAACCCCTAAAAACCCAACCCATCAAGCATTTCAAATTTTCAATTCAAGAAAACTCTTAAAAATTAAAGGAAATTTCTAAACAAAAATTATTAAGAAAACCATTACATACTCAAAAGTGAAAGGAAATGTTTCATTTTAGGTCAAAACAAATTTTTCAGAATTGCCAGTAAACTGAAAAACCCGTTATTCACCCAGCTCTTCCCATAGCAGACTGCAAACTCCTGGGGGATTGCAGTTGGAATCTTTTTTGGGTAAAGGTGGGTTATTAGAGGCCATGGGTAAGGCTACATTTTAGTCACAGGTATTTTTAGTAAAAGTCACAGACCGGTCACAGGCAGTAAACAAAAATTCATGGACGGTGACCTGTCCGTGACTTTTACTAAAAATACCAGTGAATAAAACTTGCCGGGGGGGCTGCCTGGGGGCCCCGCTGGTTGGTGGAAGAGGACGGCCTGGCTGTTGGGGGGGGGGGGGGGAGGGGGGGGGGGGGGCGGGGGGGGGGGGGGGGGAGCCCCCACGGGGGGGGGGGGGGGGGGGTTGGCGGGGCCTTCCCACCCCAGCAGCAGAGTTTGGGTGTGTGAGAGGGCAGGGGGTTGGGCCACAGGATGGGGTGAGGTGGGTTCTGGGCAGTGCTTACCTGGAGAAATACCCAGAAGTGGTGACATGCCCCTTGCTCAGCTGCTAGGCAGAGGTGTGGCCAGCCAGCTCTGCATGCTGCCTCCGCCTGCAGGCACCGCCCCCGCAGCTCCCATTGGCTGGGATTCCTGGCCAATGGGAGCTGCAAAGCCAGCGCTCTTGCGGAGGCAGCATGCAGAGCTGCCTGGCCATACTTCTGCCTAGCAGCTGAGCAAGGGGGATGTCGCTACTTCCGGGGAGCCGCCCAGGTAAGCGCCCGATGAGTAGGGGCACTTCCAGTAACTCTCTCCCTAAGTATAACACTTTAGGCCCAGATCCATGAAAGGACTTAGGGGTTGTAACACTGAGTGGTAAGGTGCCTAGAAAAGTCACAGGAACACTGCAATCTGCGAAGCCTGAGGTGAGGTGCCTTGTCTCCCCATACAGTAAGTGAAGAGAAATAGGTACCTAAGAATGGGATCCACAAAAGCCAGCACACTAGGTGGGCAGCTACCTTAAACTACCAATGGAAGATGCTCACAAGATGTGTGCGCGCTAAGCCCTGCCCTTCTTTTGGAAATAGGTGGATCTGTACAGTCCAGAGTTAGATGCTTATCTGCTTAACAACCAATCCATGAACCAGGCACGCTGATCTTACTTTAAATTGCATGTGGGGCCTGAAAGAAACTCCCTTATAACCTTTAGCCTAGTGGATAGAGCACTCACGCAGGATATGCAAGACCCCTGCCTCAATTCCCCCTTCCTTCTGAGGGGAAGAAGCATCAGAGTGCCCACACTGCTAGGCTTTAGAGCCAGTAATTCTCACTTTCCTGGCCCAATTAATATTTTACTCTTCAATTATGTAATTAAAGGTGGAACAATTGCAATATGGGAGATGAGGGAGATCCATCTCAGAATATTCCCTAGCCTAGTGGGGAGGCTGGACTTCAACTGGAGGTCTCCCACATCCTGTGTGTGTACTCTACCCCTAGTTAGACTAAAGGTTATAAAGGGAGGTTATAAGGGCTATTTTGTGTGAATTCACCTGAGGCTCGCTAGCCAGTAGGTGTGCTCAGAGGCTACCTACCAGATTGGGCCTGCATGCAACTTTAGTTGGGCCAGATGACTTTCCTGCTTTGTGAATCACTCTGGGGCTTAGATGGGAGATAGACATCCCGACCCCTATAGTGAGGCAGTAGTGCACATCCTCAGACAGGAGAAACTTAGGTGATGAGTGACTTTAGGCATCTACAAGGTTAGATGGCAGCCAAGCAGGAGTTTTGTGGATTGCAGTGGTGCCTAAAATAGGAATTTGGCATCTAGGTACCTTGTGGCTCACACCCTTAATAATTAGCAATATAACTAAAAGCATTCTCCCCTATACACTACAGGTTGAAAGATACCCTACCAGAAACAGTCCACTGAGATGGTAACTACTCTTTAAGGACAGACTAACAGGGTAGTCAAGGAGTCCCTGCCCTGTGGCTGGGCTATATATAAATAGGAAGGAAAGAGTAAATTGAGAGAGAAGGGGGAAGTAGAAGCCATATGTGCTGCAGCGGGCAGTGGTTTCTTTCTGGCTCCAGGAGTCCAGCCAAGCCTGATTTAGTCTTAGGTTCAGAGCTCCCAAACATAACCCCAGGCCCTGAGGTGAGAATTTTATCAGCTGGTATGGTACTTGGTCCTGTGCTGGAGTCTTATTAAAAAGAAATGTTATTTATTCATTAGTGTGTGTTGGCTTCTCCTCCCAACCCATGGCTATGGCCACCCCAATTAGGGGAAGTTAAGGGGAGGCCACATCTGCAGCAGCACCACCACAGTGGGGGGGGTCACAAGGGGACACACAGGAACTGCCCACACCTTTATACATGGACTTTTTATATTATAGGTGCTTTTTACAGAATTTGTAAATTCAGCTGTTTGCTCTCTCTTGATCACCAAGAATGATCCAAAATTCCAGATGTGTGAAATAAATAGTTTACCCCTTTTTGCCATGAACAAATAAATGCAAAAATCACAGCAGTTTTGCTCCTGTCTTCACTGGAACAGGAACAAAGTTAAGAAATAATCTTTAAACATAGTTCAACCTAGATCTGCTTTTAATGTGTTTACCAGCTAGTGTTATTAGGGCCAAATCATGTTGAACTGGCTTCTAACAGGAGAAGAGTTTAAACATGATTCCTTAATGCTGTTCCCACCCCAGAACCTCCTTTGTTGAAAATGCACTGACTGCACGGACTACTGTACAAGGTCTTTGTAATTAACACGGATAAATTTGCTAAGATTTCCTCTTGCTCAATAATATACCCTTGTCTGACACTAAAGCAAGTGGAATTAGAGAAAACAGATTTACCTTGTCCATTGGATCTTCTTATGTATGGCTTAAGGTGAGACATTTTGATGGGTCTTTTTAGTCTGGATCCTGTGGTATCTCTTAGTATTGCACATCCATTATCTGTGATGTAGTCTATAATACAGGGACCAACCCACTCGGATTGGAAACGGCCATCTTTCCACCAGTTTTTCCTTTGTCTAAGCACTTCATGTCCAACTTTAAGATGAAATGGATTTACTTGCTTTGGCTTCCTTTTAATATTGACCTTGTTTCCAGTTTGCTGTTCATCAATACTATTTTTCACAATCTACATAGAGAAATAACATGAATTATAGCTTGTTTTCCTGAGAGGAGCTGCATGTTTTCATAACATTGATTGAATACAGAGTTTACCATGAAGCATACAGAAGTGTTATACAAAGATCTTTAGTCATGCACAAATCATGAATTTGTTTGAATATTTCAAACATGTTCACCTTAACTCTTGTCAATCTTCTTTGATAACACTTAAGTATTAGGTATTTACCTGGCATTTTGTAGCTTTCCTTTCCTCCAATACTCGATCAGCCTGTTTAATTGCTTCAAGGATTTTGGCAAACATACATTTATTATCCTCTTGTGCTTCCTGCAGTACATTTGAAGTCTCAGACACATAAGGGTTACGATTAAACATTTGGAAATATGGTGTATTTTGGACTGGCGCCTATTTATAGGGGGAGAACACAGGCAAACTTAGTACTTGTCTTAGTGGGTACTTGCATAACAACTTCAGTCAACTCCCAACAAGAGTGACATAATGTACACATACCATGGGAGTCAAGTTAAAAGCATATGCAATGGCAGATAAATTATCATCCCAGTCATTGGGGTGGTCTGCACAGTACTTGTTCAGGAAAGTCTTGATTGTCTTGCATGTTCTTTCATTTGTGTCATCTGTCTGAGGATAGGACAATACTATTTGTTTCATTCCAAAGAGCTCAAATAGTTCTCTGTTGATCTTTAAAGACAAAAACACACAATGCACAGGAATAATCAGTGCTTGTATAACACTGCAGTAAATATTATGTACTCAGTACAGTTTCTACTCTTTCCTACCACCATATATGGAGTGACAGAAAAGATTGCCTTGTATACACTCGTCTACATGCAAGTTCCAATTTAAGCAGTACAGTGTGGTCTGAAGGAATGGGTGTGGGATCCAGGAATTGCTGAGTTCTAAACCTGGTTTTGCTACTGACTCACTATGGCCTCAAGAATATCAAAATCTATGTCATTTTCCCCATCTGTAGAATGGTTATTACTATCAATCTAACTCTGAGGTGTTAATTAGTGTTTGTAGAGTGCTTTGAAAATGTAAAGTTCTTCAGCATCACTAAGTAGTACAGTATTTTCCACCTGGGGCAAATCTGTTCTACCAGATCACAAGGAAAGGCAACATACAGCAGAGGGCTGGAGGCCAACAAAAGGTTCTAATTCAGGTTGAGTCACTGACTTAGATTGTGACCTCAGGAAAGTCACTTGACATCCTTATGCTGGATGAGTCAATAGAGACTGGAGCAAATACATTACAATGAAAAATAGTTATTTTATTGCTTAATGTGTCAAGTTCAACAGGAGCTGCTTTGGAGCAAAGGGGCACCTTAGAGGCAGGAAGTGGAAGTGGCTGGAGTGCGGGAAGTGGCACGGGCCGAGGGATATGCTGGCTGCCGCTTCCCGCTGCCCCCGTTGGCCTGGAGCGGCAAACCGTGGCCAGTGGGAGCCGCGATCGGCCAAACCTGTGGACACAGCAGGTAAACAAACCGGCCCGGCCCGCCAGGGTGCTTACCCTGGCGGGCCGCGGGCCAAAGGTTGCCGATCCCTGGACTAAGGCATCTAAGGCATTATAACTTAGTGCCCATCCTCAGATGGCTTGGACCAGGCCCTGAATCATGAGAGCAAAGTCAATGGCCTCAACTCCGCAAAGGTAAATGGCAACACACAAATTTTCATAAACAAGTCACTGTAAATTTGGTACCTAAGCCTCTCAGATTGATTACAATACCCATGTATTCTAGACAAACATACCATCTTGCCTAAAATAAAGTCTTTTTAGGGTAGACTTCTCTTACCTGATGAACAAACTCTTCTGCTTGATCAATAACCATTTTTTTAAGCGGTCCATACAAGAAAAACACACTGACAATTGCCTTAGCAATTTCTACCGCTGAAGTGTCTTGTAGTGGCAGAACCACCACCCATTTTGTGAACAAATCTGTCATCATTATGACATACATATGGTTTCTGTGGGTGGTATTAAAAGGTCCCATTAGGTCTATTGTGACTGCAGTCCATGGATCCTCTGCTTTGATAGGGTGTAATTTGGGTACTATGATGGCTGTATTCTTTGCCACCTGGCAATGCTGGCAAGCATACACCTGGATCAGAAACAAGAAAAGAGGGACATTATTAACAAGTGTCTGCCAAAGGTATAATGTCACTAGAATAAACATTTAAATATTATCATTCCAACGAGAGCTGGAAATTAGAGCACTCAGTCATTTTACACCATTTTACATTTCTTTATACTATTAAACATTTGAGATAGACATTCAGCTATAACAAAAACAAAACCACCATCACAGCACAGGTTGGGAGGTGGTTGTATGAAAGTAATTTAAAGCTTAACTTTGAATATCACTGATCCTGGGACTTAGCGTGCTGTTCTAGACCCACAGTATAAATTAAAGCAGCCTTCACTATCTTTGATTAATACAGCAGCTGGGCATCAGCATAGAATATCAGGGTTGGAAGGGACCTCAGGAGGTCATCTAGTCCAACCCCCTGCTCAAAGCAGGACCTAATCCCAACTAAATCATCCCAACCAGGGCTCTGTCAAGCCTGACCTTAAAAACCTCTAAGGAAGGAGATTCCACCACCTCCCTAGGTAACCCATTCCAGTGCTTCACCACCCTCCTAGTGAAAAAGTTTTTCCTAATATCCAATCTAAACCTCCCCCACTGCAACTTGAGACCATTACTCCTTGTTCTGTCATCTGGTACCACTGAGAACAGTCTAGATCCATCCTCTTTGCTTTCAACTACCTGAAAGGGGGTTCCAGCTATCAAATCCCCCCTCATTCTTCTCTTCTGCAGACCAAACAATCCCAGTTCCCTCAGCCTCTCCTCATAACTCATGTACTCCAGTCCCCTAATACTTTTTGTTGCCCTCCGCTGGACTCTTTCCAATTTTTCCACATCCTTCTTGTAGTGTGGGGCCCAAAACTGGACACAGTACTCCAGATAAGGCCTCACCAATGTCGAATAGAGGGGAATGATCACATCCCTCGATCTGCTGGCAATGCCCCTACTTATACAGCCCAAAATGCCATTAGCCTTCTTGGCAACAAGGGCACATCCAGCTTCTCATCCACTGTAACCCCTAGGTCCTTTTCTGCAGAACTGCTGCCTAGCCACTCGGTCCCTAGTCTGTAACAGTGAATGGGATACTTCCGTCCTAAGTGCAGGACTCTGCACTTGTCCTTGTTGAACCTCATCCGGTTTCTTTTGGCCCAATCCTCTAATTTGTCTAGGTCCCTCTGTATCCTATCCCTATCCTCCAGCGTATCTACCACTCCTCCCAGTTTAGTGTCATCTGCAAACTTGCTGAGAGTGCAGTCCACGCCATCCTCCAGATCATTAATGAAGATATTGAACAAAACCGGCCCCAGGACCGACCCTTGGGGCACTCCGCTTGAAACCGGCTGCCAACTAGACATGGAGCCGTTGATCACTACCCGTTGAGCCCGACAATCTAGCCAGCTTTCTATCCACCTTATAGTCCATTCATCCAGCCCATACTTCTTTAACTTGCCGACAAGAATACTGTGGGAGACCGTATCAAAAGCTTTGCTAAAGTCAAGGAATAACACATCCATTGCTTTCCCCTCATCCACAGACCCAGTTATCTCCTCATAGAAGGCAATTAGGTTAGTCAGGCATGACTTGCCCTTGGTGAATCCATGCTGACTGTTCCTGATCACTTTCCTCTCCTCTAAGTGCTTCAGAATTGATTCCTTGAGGACCTGCTCCATGATTTTTCCAGGGACTGAGATGAGGCTGACTGGCCTATAGTTCCCCGGATCCTCCTCCTTCCCCTTTTTAAAGATGGGCACTACATTAGCCTTTTTCCAGTCATCCGGGACCTCCTCCGATCGCCATGAGTTTTCAAAGATAATGGCCAACAGCTCTTCAACAACATCTGCCAACTCCTTTAGCACCCTCGGATGCAGCGCATCTGGCCCCATGGACTTGTGCTCGCCCAGTTTTTCTAAATAGTCCTGAACCACTTCTTTCTCCACAGAGGGCTGGTCACCTTCTCCCCATACTGTGCTGCCCAGCGCAGCAGTCTGGGAGCTGATCTTGTTTGTGAAGACAGAGGCAAAAAAAATCATTGAGTACATTAGCTTTTTCCCACATCCTCTGTCACTAGCTTGCTTCCCTCATTCAGTAAGGGGCCCACACTTTCCTTGACTTTCTTCTTGTTGCTAACAAACCTGAAGAAACCCTTCTTGTTACTCTTAACGAGAGTATCTCTTGCTAGCTGCAACTCCAAGTGTGATTTGGCCTTCCTGATTTCACTCCTGAATGCCTGAGCAATATTTTTATACTCCTCCCTGGTCATTTGTCCAATCTTCCACTTCTTGTAAGCTTCTTTTTTGCATTTAAGATCAGCAAGGATTTCACTGTTTAGCCAAGCTGGTCGCCTGCCATATTTACTATTCTTTCTACACATCGGGATGGTTTTTTCCTGCAACCTCAATAAGGATTCTTTAAAATACAGCCAGCTCTCCTGGACTCCTTTCCCCCTTCATGTTATTCTCCCAAGGAATCCTGGCCATCAGTTCCCTGAGGGAGTCAAAGTCTGCTTTTCTGAAGTCCAGGGTCCGTATTCTGCTGCTCTCCTTTCTTCCTTGTGTCAGCATCAGGTAGGGAAGCCCCGGTCATGTCCCCTTTGCTCCAGTCAAGCTTCCCCCTTTGGTAGAAGGGAGGTGACGTGCATAGGACAAGTTATGCTGGCTTTATGCCACCAGAAGGTCCCTTGCACTAAGGTGATTTTCCTTTGGCTAGCTGCACAGGTTATATACGCAGAATCTGGCGTAGCACTGCACAGACCAGATTTATCTGCTTAGCAGGATCTCATCTTATATCTATCTAAACTAAATGCAAAGAACTGTTTTCATTTAACATGAAAGTTAGATAGATGATCAGAAGTATAAGGAAATGTAGCTGACTGCAAGAGCAACAATAATTTGGCAACACTGAACAACATGTATATGTAACTGTATATACATTTTATGTCTCAGGACCAGATTCTGTGGGTGCACAATCTGTATGTATGTGTGTGATAAGGGGTGCAAGAAGATTTCCAATTGGGTGTCCCACATAAGAAACTTCCCCCGTGTACCCCAATGCCTAAAAGGAGATAAAGCTTGGCAGAGCCACAATTTCTGTCCTTCTCATGCTCTGACCAGCCATTCTGGAGGAGTGTGGGTCTTGCGGGATAGTAAGCTGTATCCCATAAAGAGGGTTAACAGCGGTCTTGCAGCCTCTATGTATCTATGAGCACCTACACTTATTCTGTCTCCCTGAGTCTGAATGCTTCCTGGCGTTCTCACTGAGGCAGCACAACCCCTCACCATCACTTAGTACAGGCTGTTCCTACAATGTGCAATTGTGCTATACATTAAGCTACACTGTTAACAAGAAAAGGAGAAACAGAAAATATTACTTAGCCACCTTGCACATATGTAAACACTGATCCTATTGGGATCTTAAACTTGTAGTTCTGACTTTGTCTGACTAACACTGTAACTTTAAAAATAATTTAAAAATTTTAATAAGTTCATGTGCTTTGCTGAATCAGAGTCTTAGAGCTACTCAGGGCCCCAAGCTACAGAGAGCATTGGAAGTTTAGTCCCAACGATCTAGCCCACAAACTTAGTTTTTCTAACACCACATTTTCACTCACTCGTAATACTGAAAATAGTCTCTCTCTCTGAACTGAAGCTAGGTATCAGCCCAATAGCGATTTGAGGAGGAATTTTCAAAAGCCCCCAAGTGACTTAAAAACACAAATCTCATAGAAGCCAAGGGGACAAAGGTGTTTTTTTCAAAAGTACCTACAGATCATAAGTCCCATTGGCTTTTAATGAAAAACATGTTCTTAAGTAACTTAGGGTTTACTTTTAGCACAAACATGCTCACACACTCAACACACACACACTATTTTTAAGTATGAGCAAAATATCTGTTCAGCTATTTGAGTTAACAAAGTGAAGCAAAAGATACGAGTCTTGTAAAAGAATTATACAAAATAATCAGCACTATCTCAATTAAGCTTATTACAAAGATCAGATAAAGATATTCTGTAGTTATGACTCATACCCACTGTTTGACGTCATTTGTTATGGAAGTCCAGTAGTAACTAGACTCCACCAGAGTCAGAGTCCTCGATATGCCATGATGAACACCTGCAGCACTTTCATGGCATTTGTGTAGCACTCTCTTCTTCTCCTCATCTGAAACAATTACCAAACGCATCTGTTTCCTGTCTTTTCCCACATAGAACAACTTATTTTCTGGAAGGAAAAAAAATATTACAGATTATGTGTCATCACCAAGACAGAATGATCACAGAAGTCTATTAAACTATTGGATATACTTGGTTATGTATTTTATTAAACTCCTATTATTCACCATTTTCAGCTGTGTACAATTACATATCAAATCTATCTTTTGCAGGGAATCTTTGTTTACTGCAGTACTCCATTAACTCTGAATACAGGGCAATGCACCCTTACTTATCCCCATAAGAGCACAAGAGAGATTGCATTCCCCCATAAAGTCTCTCTGAAGTATAATCTATTAAGACTAAGAGGGTCACATGCTTCACAGTTTCTGTTGGTAGAGCTAATTGAACATGCCAAAAGCTTTTTGCACATCCCTCCATTTCCCACACGAGCACCTTGTGAGCCAAACTCCCATCTGCTCTGTGCCACTCCCTCCAGCCCTAACTATTGTGGTAAACCAAATGCTCCTTGTCAGGAGTTAAAGTTAAGGGCTTACATTTTGAGTTTCCTTGAGTCTCGGTCCCCCAATAGCTACAGACTTCACTAGTAGCTAAAATGGGCTTTAATTATTAGATGGATCTCCATATCCTTTAAATACAATTAAACATGCTGATAAAGAGGCCAAAGGGGACAGATTTTCTATTTTTGAGAATGTTCATGTATATGCTAACCTGGGATAGACAGATGAGTTTTATTTTATAAAGAAAGTACAAAAAAAAAAATCAGACACTGTTCAAATTGTGCTATGAGCAAGTCTTCACCTGAAGGAAACCAGGAAGTAATGCATTTCCCAAAAGAGAGAATATTTCTAACCTTTGAAAACAAATTTTTTGGCTGCTCTTCTTATTCCACTTCTCTCACTTGCTAACGTAGTTGGATGATATTCTCCTGTTCGTTTGTAATAGGAGATTTGTTTCAGATGGAGCCCACCATTCTTTCCGCTACGAACCATTGTTTGCCTAAAATGCACAAATATTTTACACGGGGTTTGGCTGTGACAGTTGCTCCAACTGTTACTAGATCCTTGTAGCCCCTTCATTCCCTTATACTTGAATATCAATTCTACACGTCTGACTGTCCCCCTTCCTCACCACGTTCTTGTTTTTGGGTTCCACATGCTGGACCCATGTGCTTTTATGCTTTCCTGAATCTGAAGATGGTACAGGTATGGCCTATGGCTCTGGGTTTGTAGGACGACTCTCAGGGTGCAGATTCTCTTTGTAGCACCCCCTCCTGAGATCTAAGACACTGCAGTCCATCTGCATAGACTTTGAGACTAGTGCTAGCTCTCCCAGACTCCCCAGTTGCTTAAGCACACCCTCTCCTAGAGCTCCAACCTCGTGGGCCCTTTGGTTTATAGTTTCTCTCTTCAGAGACATGTGAAAGTTGAAACAAACAGACAGCGGCTATGCAAAAGGGATTTCTAAAAACAGTGACTTTCTACTTTAGGCAGCACAAGCGATATGGAGATGTAGGTAAAAAACAATAAAACACCTATATGCCCTTCTCTGCTTCAGTTTCCTCACAACTCAAGCATTCTTTGGGGTTTGGTCAGAGTCCTCATGGGTATCTAGACTCCCCCGGCTGCAGCTCATGGCTTCTCCTCTGAATTATAGACTATCTCCCGCAGTCAATTTCTTTCAGCCTCGGCTGGTTCTACAGTCTAAATCCCTTCTCCTTCCAAAAAACTGTCCCTTTGTTCTTCTCCTGCCGCATCCTTTGTCTCTCTAACTAACCCATCCAGTTGCTGTGTTTTTAAAGGGCTATACCAATGCCGCATCACTTTGTTCCCTCTCCTGAGAAGAGGCAATTCCTTCAAATCCTAGTACTGTGCAGAGAAGTTGGAGAAAACTGGTTTTATCTAGGATGCAGTTACTCTTTTTGTCCACCCAGGCAATTTCTACTCAGATGCTGATGATCTTTAACGATTGACCTCTTCATAGACAGATCCCAGTGCCACCCTCCTGCCCTGTAGTGCAAGGAGTCTGTGGTAAGAATAGAGTAAAAGACAGCCACAGATAGGTTATAAAATCGAAGTGGAATTCATAAATTGTACATTGACAAATTCCTGAAATCACAACATAGAAAGTTTTCTGTAAATATATTGCTCAAACAAACTTTACATAGTCTAAACACTTCAATATAATTTTTGTCTTAGTAATTTTCTCCTGTGTAAATATCTGGCCATATTAATTGTTGTGCTAAACACTCTGTTCCCTTACTCCATTTTTATGGCCATCATGCTACATCATTTATCTCGTCCTTTACTCAGATGTAAAACATACACAACACCTATCACATCACGTAGTCAATCCCTCTGCCTATACATGATGTTGTTTACAATTATATTGTAAAAAATCCAAGTGATGGGGCTTCCATCACATCCCTTACAAAGACAATGAAACCACAGAGGGAGATTGCTATTTCAATTTTTAAATATTTATAAGGCTCTCAAATACTATGGTTGGGGATCATATAAGTATCTACCCAGACAGACAGGCATCTTGATGGAAAAAAATAGACAAAAATAACTCCCAGAATAGAGCTTACCACAAAAGCGTATCTTGCTCATTAATCTGTCAGGCAAATTAGATTTTGAAATCAGACTTTGCACGACAGGTAACAATTACTTCCCCACTCATGTGTTGACTTTCCTCGGTTCATGTTAATAAACTGAAATGCCACTAATAGAATATGTCATTAGCACAGGAAAAGCTTAGGTCTAACATTAGTAGCTTCAGAATAATTCCCAATAAATGACATGTGAAAGACAGAAAAATCCATGCAAGTTACATGGATTTTTTCCAGTAGTCCATTTTTAAAAAATCTGATCCAGCATTTATAAGCAAGAGTTTAAATTTATACAGTTTGATCCTGCTACATTGACTTCAATGGGAGCAAGATCAGGCTATAGCAGACTGACGTGATATATATCATTCCTTAATGTAATTAGGAAATTATTCTTGGTGTGTAAGCAATTTCCCCACTCATCCTTGCACTGCATCACAAGATGGACAGTGTGACAGAGCACATAATCAGAATGTTAGTTTCTATACTATGTCTGACAAGAGACAAATGATTAAGAGGAACTGACACTATCTAGTCACTTTGGAAGTGATCCATTGTGTCTTGTATGGTCTCATTAATGTTTCTATTTGAACACTAAAAATGTAAATCAGTGGGTATTGGTTTTCAGTTTACTGTTTATACCTTCCTCGTTAAACTCTTGGGAGGGGAAAAGCTCTACAATTATTATGTATGCATGAATATGCAGTATATTCCCCCTCCAAAAAAATGAAATGTCATGTGTTTGCCATTAATGAGATTTCATAAATATCAATAACAATTAGCAGGTCTAAGTGTTGTTTTGTTATTTTTAAGGAACCTAAAATTGTGCTTCACAGGTCAACAGAAAGACAAGGTCTTTTACCCCATAGAATGTCTAATTTTGGACATCATGGGCCAGACTTTCATATACATATAAGTTCCATTTGTAATACTGCAGAAACACAAAGGGGGCTTACTACAGCTGTAAGGCAGGAGAGACTCCTCAGGTGCTATAGGTCTGGAGTAGCTAAATTTATACCAGCTGATCCTCCAGCACAGAGGACATTTGTGGATGGGGATGGGCTATATCAGGAGTGGGGCCTGAACACAATGTGCTCTGGTGATCCTGGCTGGCAGAGTGGTTCTTTGGGAGCCAGGATAAGTGTAAACTGCCAGCATAAATTGGAGCAACCCAGAGGCTGGTCTGACGTAACTGGTGGAAGTGATATATATGGCATAACAAACAGCAGGAAGCAGATGGGGAGAGGAGGGATCAGCTACACAGCAATGAGATTGTTTTAACTTATGTAAAATAACAGAATAAGTAATCAACATTAATATTTCCAATTTTGAGTTATACTATTGCTATAAGATCAGACATGCTTGAACAACAGCATTAAAAAGCTAAGCTGCATTAAATGTAATAAGTTTTCTAAGTACAACATACACCAAGTCCCTGGAAACAGTGAATGTCTTTCACATAACATACAGTATTTGTTAGAATAGCATGAAATCACACAACACTATTTAGAATTGCTCCTATGTCTTCCTGTGCAGGAAAACTGCTTTTGTTTTGGTTAAGTGAGAAGTCTTTACTCATCTACAGCAATGGTAGCAACTATATTAGTTTGCAAAAGGGGGTTGATAAGTAGATTATATTGTAGACTACAAGTATGATGGCTAACTCAACAAACGCTTAAACATGTACTTAAGTGCTTTGCTGGAAAAAACTAAATAAGCTTCCTTCCTGGACACTAAGAATTTCCTATATCCCTATGGATTGTTTCAGTTTTAGTATTTTCTTTCTTACTGTGTGCTTTTCTTCACACCAAATTAGATGTCTTTCTGACAGGGAAGCAAAAGGAAGCTGCAAGAGTGGTCACGTGCCCCTCCCCAGCAGCATGGGCGTATCGTTTCGGGCACCTGGAGCATCTCGTGGAGAGGTAAATCACTGCGGGGGGGGCAGGGCTGGGGACACCCTGGCCTGTGGCAGATCAGACCCATGCCCTGTCCACCCAACCCCCTGCATATCCCCCCCATACCCAGACCCCTCTGAGCCTCCCCCCCCATAACCAGAACCCTCCCCAAAAGCCCCCCAAATCTCCACCCACTAAGTCTCACCCCCTGCACCCAGCCCTTCCCAGCCAGTGGCTTGTACCCTGCACCAGGCTCATCTGCTAGTCCTGGCTGGGCTGGGGGAAGAGTGCAATTCCCCTGCACTGAGTGGCTGGGTCTGACCTGCCTCCAGAAACTTCCCCTGGTTCTGTACCTCCCCTGTTTCCTGCCCCTATCACTTCTCAGCTGCAGAGGGAGGGAATCACTTTATAGGGAGCTGCTCCCCCATCTGCCCAACCCTCTTGCAACTGGATCCCCCCAGACTCCCCCACCAAGACTCAACCCCCCCTGTATCTGGACCCCCATCAAGCCCCTCCCGCCACCAACCCCACCCTTCCTGCATCCAGACCCCCCACCCATGTACCCAAGCCACACCCTGCTGAGTCCCCCAACCTCAAACCCCCACCCTGATGAGCCCCACCCCCTATGTACCAGGACCACGCTATGAGCCCCCCACATCCAAACCCCACCCCACTGAACCCCAACCAGCTTCACCTGGACCCACACCCCACCAAGCCCCTCTTCCCCAGTACCCGGACCCCCTGCTGAGCCCCATCACCCCACACCCAGCCCCCTCTGCTGAGCCCCAATAACCTTCACCTGGACCCCCTGCAGTGCCCCATTGCCCCCCCCCCCACTGAGCCATGCACACCCAGATTGCCCCACGCAGAACCCTCTCATCCCACATCTGGATCCCCCCACACTAAGCCCCTCCACACTTGGATCCTCCTGGGCTGAGACTCCCTGCTCACACTTGGTGCGCCTGACATGGGGCTGCTAACGCTAGTGAGTTGCTTCACCTCCTACTCTTGAGGGAATTCTGCACCAAAAAATTCTGTGCCAAAAAAATAAAAATTCTGAGCACAATTTTAAAATTCTGCAAATTGTCAATAATTAAATGCGGAGGCTCCAGCATGGCAGTGGGGAGCACAGGTCACTGGCTGTATGGAGGTCAGAAATCACCCAGCAGCCCTCCCTCTCCCCTCTGCCCCCAGGACACAGACCTCTGGGGCAGGCCTGGCCCCTGCACTGTGCCAGGTTTGGGTGCAGTCTCACTGCCAAGTCTGTGCTGGGGGGCTACCATGTGGAGCCTCCACATTTATTTGTTGACAAGTAACACTTGCAGAATTTTAAAATATTGTGTGCAGAATATTTTTTTCGGGGGGGGGGAGGAGGAGACACAGAATTTTAATTTTTTTCTCACATAATTCTCTCTGGAGTAACTAGAAGAGGCAGGCTTTTTTAAATCGCTTGTTAGCTAGCAATGTCAAAATCATAGTGTGGATGAGGCAATTATAGTCCTAACAAGTGAGCAGGTTGTGGGGAAACGCCCGCCTCCATCATGACAGCTTTTCCTAGTCTGGATTCACCCAGACAGTTTACAATTTCATTAACGTCTCAACAAGTGAACATGACAAACAATAGAAGGAAAGGGAATGGGAAGTGTCTTGCAACTCATCAGATATTACTGCTTATATTGGGCCAGATTTTTGAATCTATTCCCGCTACTTTCTGCTATTCCAGTGGTGCAAAGCAGCCCTTAACCAGCTATCTAAGGAGGACTGACAAGTGGCATGGTTCATCAGCAGCATCTTCTCTCCCCTCCCTCTCACAGCACCAGGCCAGGCCAGGCTCAGATCCAGCTGCCAGAATAGAATTTAGGGGCCACAGGCAGCTGGTATAAAGCAACACAGCCCCGAGAACGGGGAGGCTAGGATCTGGCCCAATGCATGAAGTGAAGTTGAAGGGTTAATATGGTTCTCCAAGATGGAATTTCTGTTTATTCAGTGGTTTTTAAACAATTAAGAATTTACATCCCAAAATGCTACATTAAAACAGTGTTAAGGAGAAGTCAAGCACTGAAAAGTTTAGGAAATTACTGGGAAATGTCAAATTAAAGTTGTCTGTACAATCTTAAATTTATCCCCTGTTGTGCATATGCATTCTGATAGTCTTTAATTACATGACCACATACTACCGTATTTTCTTGTCCTGTAGTCTCCAGTTTCTTTCCTTGTGTACCTTCCAACTTCTGAAACAAATAGAGCATGAATCCTAGAGACAAAAGCCCCTTCACTATACAACCCGGACTCAGCTCCCCAGAGCACAGTGCATCCCGTGTAATGAATGAGGCAGGGGTCCTATAGGGAAAAAAGTTTGACTGTGTAATTAAAGATGATCATAATGGGTACACACAAGGAAGTGAATGAAGGTTGCATGGGCAACTGTCATTCTGGCATTTCTTAACTTCTGAGCGCTTGATTTTGCAACATTGATGTTCTTTTAACACTTATGGGGGGAGTGGGGGATGCAAAACAGATGTTTTTCACTGCTGCCCAGAAGATGCTGCAAGGCAACATGAAACTGAAAAAAGTCTTGTTAATATCACCTTGCTGGTGGGCAGAGCTATCCATCGGCAGCAGCTGGCACTGGAGCCATCTGTCTGTGGGCTTGGGCAGACAGGCCATGGCCCCCGGGGAGGTCTGCAAGACTGCAAACTATGTCTAAGATTTCCAAAGGGGTCTGTAAATGAAAAAAGGTTGAGCCCCACTAGTGTAGACTGTTACGCATTTAGAAGATTATCTTCGCAACCGCAAATGCTAGGGTTGGTTTTCTGCGTGGACGTTTACGCTGTGGGAGTACTGATGGGCGAGCCCCACTGCCATACGCGCCAGGAGACGGGACCTACGCCTGAGTGGGCAGCGGAGTTTCCCCAACCCCAGTCATCCCAAATCCCAGCTAAGGGCCCTGAGCGGAGCTAAAGGGCCAGGCAGCCCGGCGGTCACACCCTGAGGCAAGGGCAGGGGCAGGGGCAGGGCGGCGAAGAAGGCCCCCGCCCAACCCTACCCACCTCACTCACGGACTCACTGTGTCCAGTGCTGCGGCCGGCCGGGCGGGCGCCTCGGAGCAGGAGATGCTAGGCTGCAGACTGAGCGTGGCTGCGTCCCTCCCTCAGCCCTGGGGAAGCCCACGCCGAGCCCCGCTCTCCGCCGCAGCAGTTGGAGTACTCCGAGCCACGTGGACTACGATGCCCAGCATGCACCGCTCCGATTATCCCCCAGCCAGGCGGCGCAGCCTGGAACACTTTAGTCTCCATGGAGATGAAAATGGAGCCTTATGTGCCGAGAATGGTTGTCCTCGCGAGACTGCAATGCAAGCTGGGGTCTTTAGTCCCGACCGGCCATTTCTAAGCTCCGTTTGCCTGCGAGGATTTGCACATGCGCGAAACAAACCCTGCGCGATATTTCCCCCCTTGTTGCCAGGACGCAACGAGTCGAGCACGTACAGCGATAACCAATCACACATTGGATTCATAAACACGCACCTGGCTATCGCGATATCCTGCTCCGAGGAGGCCAAGACCGTGTTTCTCTGGCCTGGCGAGACAAAGTAGTAATTCCGCGCGAGAGACTTATGTGGCGCCCCCGGAAGTGACGTCTCCCAGGGGGGCTTGGCCCGCGGGGGGCGGGCCCCACCAGCTCGAGGGTGGGGTGGGGCGGGGCTCCTGTTCGTTCCTCAATGGGCTCGGGCGGCGCGCTGCCCTGGCACCCACGCCGGCATGGGTAGGTGAGGCGACCCCGTCCCGCGATGCTGGGGCGGGTCCTGGCCTGGGGGCCGCGGCAAGGTCCCGCTTTCTCCAGCGGGGTGTAGCCCAATGGCGCGAAGGTCGCTACAGCTCCGCACTCCTGGGCCCGCGGGGAGCTGGAGCCCGCCGGGGAAGGGGCTGCCCCACGCTGCGCGGCCAGGCCGGTCCCCGCGCAGAGACCTGGCGGGGGCGCTCCCCGCGTCCGTGCCCATCTCCGCGGCGTCGGAGTGTCAGTCCTCGGGCTCCGGCGGGGGTTGTTGAGTCCCGGGGCCGCCCCGGGCTTGGGGGCCGTTTACATCCGCGTGTGGCCGCGCCACCCTACGCGCTTCCGGCTTGTTTGCACTGTAGCACACCTGGGGAGCGCCTGAGCAGAGATCCCCGCAGGCCTACGGCAGGGACCTGGACCCCGCTTTAGATGGCCGCGTCCCCCGTGCCAGCTGTGCCCTTCCTCCCGAAGGCTGTGGGGGTTCCCAGAGTCACTGGGCTGCTCGTCCTCCCTCCCCATGTGCGGCCACCCTTCGCGTGTATAGCGTGAACAGTCACCGTGGTGAAAGGCAGAGCTGGGGCTGCTTCCTAGGGACCAAACGCTGATCTTAACCAGGGAACTAGAGGTTACTTCTGGAGGACAAAACTAACTTTTTCCTGTCACCAAACTCCCCTGAAACTGTAACCGCGTGTTTGAGGTGGGTGACGCTGGGCTTTGTTCCATAAACATGAGCAGTCACAAAATGTCACACTCCTTATTCCTTAATTGTAGAGTCAGCCTGAGGGCAGGGGAATGATAATACACTAGGGTGATGCACAGATTTACAAACTGAAACCCTCTTTTTTCCATAGGAAAAAAACAACTTTAAAGGCTATTGCATGAATGTGCTTACAAAATCTTAGTTGAACTTATAAGAAATAAAATTAGACTAATAAAGATTCTTGGGCCACCAGGTGATTTTCTCCAACTATGCAATCAGATAAGTTGGATGCAATCCTAATGTGTTATTGCAAAGAAGCTGGATTTCCATTTGTTTTTCAGAACACTTCAGCATTTCCCAAACACATGCTGTCCATCATCTAGCAAATTAAACATATTTCCTTTAACACATGGTAGGCATAATCGTTAGGTTTGATATCCAGCTCTCACCTGCTTTGTGGTCAGCTGATTCCAGCTATGTCTATGCTACAGAGTCACAGCCATGGCACCGCAGTTGTACCACTGTAGTGTAGACACTCCTACGTTGCCAGAAGGGGTTTTTCCATTGATGTAGATAATCCACCTCTCCAACAGACAGTAGCTAGGTCAACAGAAGAAGTCTTCTGTCGACCTGGCTGCATCCAAGGTGGGGGTTAGGTTGTCCTAAATTTTTGCCCTGTGAGACTGTTTTCCCAGCCCTGAGTGATGTAGCTTGGTTAACTTAAGTTTTAGGTGTAGACCAGACCTCAGAGAGAAATATCCATGGAACTTTCATCTTTGCTGCATTGGAGAGGTGCTCAAAGATCTCTGTCCAGGTTTTGCAGCAACCAGCTGAACCCCGTTTCAGAACAGTATTGTATAAATGAATTTATATGGCACTGTACTGACATCAGTTTGCAATGTGATATGGCAACAAACAGGCCAATGCACCTTTTGGATGTGTACAGAGAAACATGGAGTAAAGAGGAAATGATAGTCTTGGGTGTAATCATACCTCCTAGTACTTTGACTTTGGGGCACCATATTACTAAAAAGATGCTCACAAAGAGGAACAGATTTAGAGAAAATCAATGAAAGATATTGGGGTTATAGAGATTGATTTGAGGAAAGAATAAATGAGCTAAGCATGGCTTGGATAATAGCTTAGGAGTCATTGAGTATTAAGGTTTTGAAGGATGTAAAAACAAAAGATGGAGAAGAACTATTTATAGTAATACCAGATGGGGTATATTTCTGTGTGGGGACAAAATTAAGGGGAAATCTAGGATAAATGTTAGGAAAACCTTTGACCTTTCTCAAACTGTGGAATTGTTTACTAAGGGAAGTAATGAAAGCCCTGTAAACTAGGCTGTCAAGCAATTTAAAAAAATAATCTTGATTAATTGCGTGGTTAAAAAAATTAATCACACGATTAATCGTACTGTTAAACAATAATAGAATACTATTTATTTAAATATTTTTGGATGTTTTCTACATTTTCAAATATATTGATTTCAGTTACAACACAAATACAAAGTGTACAGTGCTCACTTTATATTTATTTTTATTACAAATATTTGCACTGTAAAAAACAAAAGAAATAGTATTTTTCAGTTCACCTCATACAAGTACTGTAATGCAATCTCTTTATCATGAAAGTTGAACTTACAAATGTAGAATTATGTAAAAAAAATAACTGCATTCAAAAACAAAACAATCTAAAACTTTAGAGCCTACAAGTCCACTCAGTCCTACTTCTTGTTCAGCCAGTCACTTAGACAAACAAGTTTGTTTACACTTGAATGAGATAATGCTGCCCTCTTCTTGTTTACAATGTCACCTGAGAGTTAGAACAGACATTCACATGGCACTGTTGTAGCCGGCGTTGCAAGTTATTTACATGCCAGATGTGCTAAAGATTCATATGTCCCTTCATCTTCATCCACCATTCCAGAGGACATGAGTCCATGCTGGTGACGGGTTCTGCTCAATAATGATCCAAAGCAGTGCAGACTGACGCATGTTCACTTTCATCATCTGAGTCAGATGCCACCAGCAAAAGGTTGATTTTCTTTTTTGATGGTTCAGGTTCTGTAGTTTCCACATTGGAGTATTGCTCTTTTAAGACTTCTGAAAGCATGCTCCACACCTCGTCCCTCTCAGATTTTGGAAGGCACTTCAGATTCTTAAACCTTCGGTCGAGGGATGTAGCTATCTTTAGAAACCTCACATTGGTACCTTCTTTGCATTTTGTGAAATCGGCAGTGAAAGTGTTCTTAAAATGAATAACGTGCTGGGTCATCATCCAAGACTGCTATAATATGAAATACATGGCAGAGTGTGGGTAAAACAGAGCAGAAGACATACTATTCTCCCTCAAGGAGTTCAGTTAAAATGTAATTAACGCATAATTTTTTTAAGGAGTGTCATCAGCATGGAATGGTAGCCAAAGAATGAAGGGGCATACAAATGTTTAGCATATCTGGCACATAAATACCTTGCAGTGCCAGCCAGAAAAGTGCCATGCGAATGCATGTTCTCACTTTCAGGTGACATTATAAATAAGAAGCAGTCATCAGTATTTCCTGTAAATGTAAACAAATTTGTTTGTCTTAGTAGTTGGCTGAACAAGAAGTAGGACTGAGTGGACTTGTAGGCTGTAAAGTTTTACATTGTTTTGTTTTTGAGTGCAGTTATGTAACAAAAAAAATCTACATCTGTAAGTTGCATTTTCACGATAAAGAGATTGCATTATGATACTTTTAAGAGGTGAATTGAAAAATACTATTTCTTTTGTTTTTTTACAGTGCAAATATTTGTAATAAAAATAATCAAATAAAGTGAGCACTATACACTTTGTATTCTGTGTTGTAATTGAGATCAATATATTTGAAAATGTAGAAAAACATCCAAAAATAGTTGTTAAATTTCAATTGGTATTCTATTGTTTAACAGTGCGATTAAAACTGCAATTTAATCGCGATTAATTTTTTTGAGTTAATCACGTGAGTTAATTGCAATTAATCGGCAGCCCTAAAATATATTAGCAGGAAGATGGGGCTGGATGATGTTATACTTTTTTTCCATGTTGATGATGATTGCTGAAACATGTGAGGCATAGAATGGTCTGGTCTTTATATTTAATTTAGGGAATGGGAATGTTAGGGGACAGTAAAATTTATTTCCATAGTTTCTTGGCTTCAAATATGAGGATGTCTTTTTACAATGTTTTGATGCTTTAAAAATGTATATGTATTTTTCTTAAATCTACTTCACCAAGGTGTGTCATGGGTGAGTGTGGATATGTGAAAGAGATCTTGGGATAACAGAAACATCTCTGTTTGGCTTAATGTTTCCCCCTATCTTAAAAGGGGATCTGATGAATATTGCACTGTACTTCTTGATTAAGGAGGGAAAGCAGCTCCACAAACTAGTAGGGCTTGGCAGATTTGGTATATTGGTATCTCTTGTTTCCATACAGTTCAGTTATGCCTGTCATGCCCTGGAAAGACAAATATTTGTTATATGAATGTTACAGGTGGCACCACTGAGCCCTCTGACCCACCAGCCTGGGCTCCCTCTCTCACTGTGGTGCTGTGACAAGCTGCAGACATGGTCCTGTGGTCTTACACTTCCACCAGCATACACATAGGTAAGGACACACCCAGCTGCAAGTTACATGCAGGCTCTCTGACCAGCCACTGCATGGGGACCAATAATAGAGAGGCTACAGCCAAAATAACCACCAGCTTCCCAGCTTAGGACCCCAGAGCAGTACCGTTTTGTCCTGGTACAAACTCCAACCAGTACGAATTTATTATCCAGTTGGCTCCCCCCCTCAGTGTGGAGAGGAAATGCAACATCCTTTGACCCTTGAGCTATGATTTCCCATGCACTTCACTCCAACTCACTGGTTTAGATAAAGCAAAAACAAGTTTATTAATTACAAAACTTGGTTCCCAGACCGGTTTGTGGAAAAATACTGACATCCCAAGATGGAGTCCAGAGACATGTCATCTGGTCATATGCCTTTGCAGTGTTGGGTGACCAGATGTCCCAATTTTTGGGTCTTTTTCTTATATAGGCCCCTGCGGGCAGGGGACTGGACTCGATGACCTCTCGAGGTCCCTTGCAGTCCTAGAATCTATGAATCTATGAATTACCCGCCACCCCCTGTCCCGATTTTTCACACTTGCTGTCTGGTCACCCTATTGCAGTGTTATAGCAGCCATTGCTTACAGGCTGGCCAAAACGTTCACAGGAAGTTTAAGTTCTTCCATGGTCCATTGTCTTTGCTGATGGGCCATCAGCAC